GGAGGGTCCCGCCGGGCCCGGGCAGGGGGCCCGAGCTGGTCACGGCTCCCAGCAGGTGCCAGAGGACGACGAGAGCTTTTTGCTCCACAGCACCAGGCCTCCGGGGGTACAGCTCCGTAACCAGATCTGCAAGAGAGACGACAGGTCACCAGGCAGCGTGTGGGGGCTGTTTTTAAAACACAGCTCAGAGGTGATCCCCTGCTTGGAGAGGTGTTTAAAAGCACATCGTGCCAACGCGTCTTCTCCAAGCGAGAGCTGGCCTTGCTGCAGCAGCATCAGCGCGCCCATCAGACACCGGCTTTCCTACAGACCCCCCACTTACCCTCTCTCGGGAGCTTTCACGCCAGCACTGGTACCACTGAGAATTACAGCTTTCCATTAAATTAAAACAAGTAAAAGAAAGAAAGTGGGGGTTTGAGTTTTTTGTGGTTAGGATTATCATAAGGACTTTTAATTTCTCACAGTGCACTGTGTAACATCCGATGTTTTCTGATTTCCCCTCCATCTCAGAAATACACAGTAGGTACTGGAGTTTAAGGAACAAACCAGCCTTATACCATAAATATACCCAGGGTGAAGCATTTTCCCTATGCGTAGACCCTTACGTCGTGAATTAACTATTTAATTGGCAAATGCTTGCTGTTAGAGATTGATTATAAAGAAGATTGATTATAGAATAGAATAAAATCATAGAACTAGAACATCGATTCAATTGTGTAAACACAGCTGTGTTAAGAAACCATACAATCGGTGTGTTGCAACTGGGATAGAAACCAACTATGGATGGATTCAAACAGAATTCACAAAAGAAGAGGAAGGACAGACGACGACTCCGAGTTGACCCTGAAACCAAGCAAGGCCTGAAACCAGCGAGGGAGAATTCTACGAAGACAGAAGAATAGAAAGAACTTAATAAATAATGTACTTAAAGGAACAGAATGGTTGCTTAGAAACTTCTGAAGATTCTAGACTTGATGTAATCAGTTTAATAAATGTATATAAACTGGTCTAGCAAGTTCAGCTTTGCCACTCACTGAGGTGATGGCCCAGCTCTGAGTTACAAATAAAGCAATACCTGGTGTAACCCACTTGTGTGAGGATAAAATCTTCAACACTTGCCTTCCTGCTAGAATGTGTATGGAGTCTTCTCATGTATGCAACACAAACTACTCCAAAAAACCCCAGCAAGAGATGAACTGTTTAAAGGTCGGTGACTAACACATTCAAAAAGCATAAATTTAGGAATATTTCAAGAACAGAATGTCCTTTATATGATTGAGTTCAATTTCATCGCTACTACACACAGAAGTGCTCTGAAAGTAAGCCAAATAATGTCCATTTGGTTCAAGTATATTTCCCACAAACACATGCCTTGTTCACTTAAAACATCAAAGGGAAATCCAGCACTTCTCCTAGAATTTACATACACATTTTAATATTAGGGATTATTGCTAATTAAAACTTGTGTTCAACTTTTAAGCAATTTGTCATCAGGCTTTTGGCACCAGTTTAGGAAGAAGACCGTTATGAAGTCTGCCATCTTTGTGGCGACTGCGGCGCCGCTTGCCCGCTTGTCTCCGTTACGACTGAGCGCCAATGTGTATCACCAAGAGCCTGAAAACGAGAACACGACCAACGGCGAAAAGCAAAAAAGTACAGAAGTAAAATTCAGGAGTTTGTAGGAGCCGGCCTTAGAGAACAGTGTATTTCTGTGCTGGGAAACCCCACAAAAAGCAGTCACTCATTCCTTGCATTTCTTCCTGGCAAGAGTAGGAGGGAAGGAGTACTGTGAGAGGGAAATTCTCTCTGATTCCGCATTAACTTTATTATAAGCTTAAGGTGTTTATACGTCTTCCAGGGGAGTATCTGACTACGTAATAATGCTTTGTGTTGTCAGCAATAGCTTCAGTTTGCATCGGAAGGGGGTGAAATCTGACAACTGCTGCATCGTTACAGCCCACAGTCTGCTGCCACAGAAGGGAAGCTATGCAGCCACCACCATCCTACAGTGAGTTTGCCTCATCAGGATGGCACACAAACAAACACGCACAGTAAAACATCACTTTACCAGCAAGCTTCTCTGTCATGTCTTGTTTTGCTTTTCCATTCAGAAACTGGGCTTTTGTGCAGAACGGCTGGAGAAGCAAGTAGTTGTCTAAATGCAAGGAACAAAACACGTTAAAGTTCTTACACAGAAAATTACACCATCTGGAAATAAACACAATATGGAAAAAGGTAAATAAGAACCTCACTTGTGATAACAGAATCACAGAATCACAGAATAGTAGGGGTTGGAAGGGACCTCTGTGGGTCATCTAGTCCAACCCTCCTACTGAAGCAGGGTCACCTACAGCAGGCTGCACAGGACCTTGTCCAGGCTTTTTTATAATTATATTTTTGCAGGAGAACAGATACATTAACTTCAAAAAACACAGTGATGTAGTTCAGGGCATAAAAGTGTAAAAAGATAATACTAACAAGCCCGACCTCCTAGAAGCTGGCAGGACGTAGCACATTGATTTCCTGAAAATACTACGATTCTGCTCCAAAGCCAAACCGTTGAGGAAGCAACACAGTTGTGGCGTACACAAATCAGCGAGAATCTGTTCTTTGACCTGCTGAAGAGATTCAGCAGTCTGACCAGCCTCTGGATAACAAAACCCAGAATCACGCAGAATGGCTGAGGACGGAAGGGACGGCTTCCGAGTGTCTCCAAGGATGGACACTCCACAGCCACCCTGGCTAACTTGCTCAGTCACCCTCACGGCAAAAAAACCCTGCTGTGGAAAACCAAGAAACCTACCTACGCGCTTACGACGGGTCCAGCTAGCTGTGTTGCTTGATTGGCTGGTAAAATAATAGGATGATTTGTATGCTTTATAAAGTGTGAGAATAAAAACCAGTCATTCATTATGCAATGTAATGATTGGATGGAAAATATTGGAAAGAGTAACTCTGTAAATTTAGAATTCAATTAATAAAATTAAAACTCTTTAAAATTAAGAGAGAGTAAATTACTGACCTAAATGTTGACACAGAGCCTGAATAACGTTAGTAGCAGCTGCATAAATCCCTGGATTTTTGGAGTTCAGGTTGTTGTCTACCAAGGCAGGAATTAACATGTTGATCACAGGCGATAAATTGTCTTTCAGCAATGGAATCATCTTGTGCATGGTCTCCAAAGCAACCTGATTTACTTTACTGTTTGAGTCATGTAAGCGAGACTTGAAAGCATCGAAGATCTGAAAAAGTATCCAAATAGCATTCATCGGAATTAACAATTACTGTTTGAGGTGCATATTATGTTTCCTGCTTATTGTTGCACTTTAATTATTCACCTTAGCAAAAGGCGCCTCTGATATGCAAATATCTGAGATACATTTTTTATTAGCAAGTAAAGCAACATTTGGTATTTTTATGCTGTGTATTATTCGACTGTGTCTCACCTCATCTGAATTTGAGTCATTGCTACACAATGTGACAGGGGGAAACTAGCCATCCCTAACTTTCAGTATGACTCGTATTTTCCGGAAGCAAGTATTTTTAGCAAGGCACAGCTCTGTTTAGCAAACAGAATGTTTGAAAGGTTTCAGAAACATTCACAGTTAAGATACCGCAAAGTTTCACAGCAGTATTTTGTAGGTCCACAGCGAAGACACTGCACTGTTAGAAGGCAAACAGAAAAGGTTTTCCTTTCATTGTACCTATGCTTAGTTTACAGCTGTTGGACCTCATCATAGAATTTTTCTCCTAAAGAACCTCCTTTCCTATTAGAAAGGATACTGACCTGAAGTTTATCATAGTAAAGACCTTTCCTCACCTTCTCCTAGACAAACAAAGCAGGCAGAACTTGCAGCTGTGTTTCAGGGAGTTTTTCAGATCCTGATTTATCCTTACTGCTCGTTTTGTGGCCTCTTCCAGTATTTTGAGATTTACTCAGCAGCGGCATGAAAAACTGCACGCAGCATTCCAGAAATATTTCAACGAGTGCTGTGCCTAAGTGAAAACTTTCAGCTTCTTCCTCCTATTTACCTCCTTTACTACCTTTGCAGCTTACGTATCGCTCCCTTCAGCATACCTGACCTATGCCTCAGTGTTTTCCTGAGTATTAATCATACAATGTATGTATTAATCATACAATCATCGAACAGTTTGGGCTGGAAGGGACTTTACAGACCAGTCAATTCCAACCCCCGGGGGAAGAACTGCTTCCCAGTATCTAATCTAAATCTCCCCTCTTTCCTTCTAAAGCCATCACCCTGTGTCCTGTCTCTCCATGCCCTTGTCATAGCCCCTCTCCATCTCTCTCGCAGCCCCTCCAGGCCCTGGCAGGTCCTTCTAG